AGTGTGGGCAGGCATCTGGCAGCACCATCAGTTGCGCGAGGTAGCCCTCCCCGACGGCGCGGAGAACTGGGACGACTTGGAGCCTATCACGGTGGCCAGTTTGCGCGAGGTGTTGTACACTTTTCCTGCGAAGACTGCTGTGGGACAGACAGGTCTGCACCCAAGGCAGCTCGACCAGCTGTCGGACATGGCCTTGCTCACTGTCTCGTTAGTGTTCACGCTTTGTGAGCAGCGCCTGCAGTGGCCGCCTGACAGGTTGGCTACGATCCTTGCGCGGCTGCCCAAGCCCAGTGGTGGCACAAGGCTTATCGGCCTACTCAACTCTTTGCTACGAGTCTGGAGTCGCGCCAGACGGCCCATCTCGGCGGACTGGGTCAAGTCGCATCGCAGCGCGCAGAGCTGGGGTTCAGGGGATGGCAGGAGCTCTTCGGCCTCGGCTTTTTGCTTGGCACCCAACAGTGAGATTGATGTGGCGGATGGCAAGAAGACTCTCACGTTGATGATCGACATTTGGAAACGTTTCGAGCTCATTGACCCCAGCGTACTGCTGCGCGAGGCTGCGGCAGTGAAGCATCCCTTGTGCATGGCCTGGCTGCTCATTCAGGCATGCCGTTTGCCCCGCACGTTGAGAGCACATGGGAGCGCGTCGAAGTTCTTCGTATCAGGGCAAGGCATCGTGGCAGGGTGCTCTCATGCGACGACAGTGTTGGAGTTCCTCCTGTACAGATCCATGCGCAGGCTTTCGGGGATTTGCCCAAATGTGGCAACGCAACAGCTCGTGGACGACACATCACTGCGCTGGAGTGGCTCAGCCGCGCAGTGCGCCGAGGAGGTGGCGATTGCTGCAGATGAGGCGCAGGCTGCACTCGCTGATCTTCGCCTGCCAGTGCATGCGAAGAAGCTCGGCTACGTGGCTTCCGACGTGGCCACGGAGAGGGCCGTGCAGCGGGTCGCGCAGCAGGGGGGCCTCACGCGGCACCGCTGGATGCGAAACGTCGGACACGAGCTCACGACTGTGCGGCCTTTGAGGCTGCAGGAGCAGGCCAGGGTGAGAGCGCCACGGGCGAAAGTTCGTCGGTTGCATATCCTTATGCGGGCGGCTGGAGGTCGACGGATGACTCGGATTCAGAGCACAGGCCTCACCCCTTCGGTTCTTCACGGGGCTGCGGTGATGGGTGTGGCAGAGCATGTCCTGAGGCCTGTGCGTTCGCTGGCAGGCGCGCTGGCAGGGGTAAAGGCGGCCGCGTCCTTGACCGCGTGCATGGTGATGCAGCGCAGCCCGAGGTACCATCCCATCTTTGCTGCCACGCTTGACCTGCCATACCTCTACGCGTCGTGGCTGTGGGAAGCCGAGGTATCTCTCGTGCAACTCCAGCACGCTTGGGAGCTGATGGCAGGCCGCATGCGGAAAGCTGAAGCCTGGTCCAAGGTCGCAGGCCCACTATCGGCGCTGTGGATGGCTCTTCGGAGAGTTGATTGGTCTATGAGGTCCGCGCACGAGGTGGTCACGGACAAGCACGAGTATTTCTCGCTGCTGGCGGTGGCTCCTCGTGATTTCTGAGATCGACGGGAGGCTGGAGTACAACGGTGGCAGATGCCGCGGGTACAACAGCACCTACCAGGTCATGATGGAGAGGAGCTGTGGTATCGTGCACTTCGTGCGTGCACTCATGGGCCTCGCGCCGTGCGAGGCTCTTGGCGCTGCGCAGTGCCCGTGGACAGGCGCCATGTGGACACGGGAGAAGAAGTTCTGTCATGGTTATGTTGCGTCGCCTGATTGCTTGGCTTGTTCGGAAAAGAAACCCGAGACGCTCGGGCGCAGATGGTTGGATTGCCCAGCTGTGCTTGGGAGCTCGGAAGCCGAGCCGCTGGAGGAGGCAACGCGCGAGCACAAGCGTAGGGTCGCCACGCGTGAGCAGATGCGTAAGGGGGTGCTTGAGTCGGCTGACCCCACGTTCTTCGATTCGAGTCAGCACGTTTTCGCGCTGCCGCTGGTCCCGCCTCAGTCTGAGAGGCCTGCTCGTATTCCCGAGCAATGGCTTGAATGGGGCGACCCTGAGATTCTTTGGGAAGACACGGTCTACACGGATGAGGTTGGCCAGGACATGCAGGTTCTTGAAGTTGCGCGCTGTGTTTGGGCGATTGTGCAGCTTGGTTCCCAGGGCCGCCCGTCCAAGGCCAGTTGTGGAAGCCTCCCAGGGATCCAGTCGGTGCCCAGAGCAGCCAGATATGCTGCCTACCAGGCTGTGCTTGCTGCGCCGCGTGCAACTAGAACTGTTAGTGACCACCTATCTTTAGTCCAGGAGGGTGAGCGGTGGAGTGAGAGTGAGGCGTCGGCCGCAGCTCGCCACGCAGAGATTTGGCGTGCCATAAGAGCCACAGTCGAGCGGCAGGCCCGCCCCCCGCCCCGCTCTGCCTGAACCCCGTCTCACAAGACGGCCGAGGAAGGGCTCAGTCGGGGAGTGGGGGCGATGGCTTGGGCGGGTAACGCGTGGGCGGATTTCTTTGCCACTGTTGCGCTGCATGTCGTTACGAGCAGCCCCAATTTCGGGAATGGTCTAGAGCTGCGCCTGGCCGAGGCTGTGAATCTTGCCAGATTCGTGGCCTGGGCTGGCAAGCGAGTGCTTGGCCCAGGGCGGTGGGATGGCCCCAGGGGCGAGCCCCGTGCCCGCAAGCCCCCGCAGGAGCCGCCCAGCCCGGCCATTGTGTCCCATGGTCTGGCGCCTGATGGACAGGGTTTCCGTTGCAGGAATTGCAATCGTGCGGGGTTTTCAGAGAACGATCCGTGGCTTGCTGACCAGACCATGTCGGCCTTCCGCACTGCTCCGCGCTCGAGCTGCGGCCCTTTTGGCAATGCACAGCCCACCCGAGGCCGAGGAGAGTCCTGCTCCCCACTCTGATCCATCGGCCCTTGCCCTGGGTCTGGCGGCCGCGGCGGCTTGTGCTGCGACTGCGAGTCGCGAAGACCCCTGCGGTTCGATGGGCCGATTGGAGCGGGGGCGTGAAGGTAACAGGTCTCCTCGGCGCGGGAAGGGCGCTGGCTTCGCTGCTGGCGCTGGAGGAGGCGGTGGCCCGTCGTCGACGTCGTCGGTGCGGCGGGGGGCGGATTCGCGTGAGGAGCGACGGGCTGCGCTTGCGGCTCGCCTCCTCAGAGCGGCGGGAGGCACACCCGTTGCCACTGCCTCTGCAGTCTCGCTTCTCCTTGCCCCCCCCCCCCCTCGGGAGGATTGCTGGAGGCCCCCCCTGGAAGAGCGGGGGGAAGGGGGGGGGGGGGGGCTCGTGCGATGCCAACTCGTGCTATGCGCCCCGCGGAGGAGGTCTCAGAGGCGCTTGGGCATGAGATCCTGCTGAGGCCTCCGTGCACGGTGTGCAGGTGCTGCGGGGCGTATGCCATGCGGCAAGGGTGACTGTTGGGCCCCCCCTGCGCTGGCGCCCTCCCCGACCTTGACCGTTGCGTCACCCCCGCGGAGCGTGAACGGGCCAAGCGCCGTGACCGCCTCCACCCTGGGGCGGGGGTCCCCCTCGGCCCTGGTCGGGGCTAGGTCCCTGGTCCGTCTGGCCTTGGATGGCCCAGCAGGCTGTGCCTGCCCTCTTGTTGAGGTCTGGGGGCCGTTTCTCTGCTCTGGGGCTTGTTGGGTTCCTAGAGTTGCCCGCAGGCTCGGCCTGCCCTTGCTCGCGGTCTGGGGGCCGTGCACTGTGCTCTGTTGCCTTGAGAGGCCCCAAGGCCCCTCGGCCCTAGTGGCCCGTCGCAAGCACAGGGCCGTGTTCGACCTCGGGCGCGGTCTCTTTGGCGTGCGACGCACGCGCGCACACGCGCACGCACGCACGCACGCACGCACGCACCCGCGCCACGCCACGCCACGCCACGCCACGCCACGCCACGCCACGCCACGCCACGCACGCACACACACACACACACATTCACACACACACACACATTCACACACATTCACATTCATATTCACATTCACACGCAGGCACGCACACACGCACACACGCACACACGCACACAAGCACACACGCACACACGCACACACGCACACGCGCGCACGCGCACACGCGCACACGCGCACACGCGAACACGCGCACACGCGCACACACGCGCACACACACACGCACACGCACACACACACACACGCGCACACACACGCACCCACGCACCCACGGTCACACGCACACACGCACACACGCAGAGACACAGAGACACAGAGACACAGAGACCTAGAGACCTAGAGACACAGAGGCCTAGAGACACAGAGACACAGAGACACAGAGACACAGAGACACAGACACAGACAAGCACACACACACACACACACTAACCACACAGCACCCCACCCGCACCCGCGCGCGCACGCGCACGCGCACGCGCATGCGCACGCCCACGCCCACGCCCACGCCCACGCGCACGCGCACGCGCACGCGCACGCGCACGCGAACGTACACGCGCACGCCCACGCCCATGCCCACGCCCATGCCCACGCCCACGCCCCCGCGCAGCGCACGCGCACGCGCACGCGCACGCGCACGCGCACGCGAACGTACACCGCACGCCACGCCCATGCCCGCCCAAGCCCACGCCCACGCCCACGCCCACGCCCACGCCCACGCCCACGCCCACGCCCACGCCCACGCCCACGCCCACGCCCACGCCCACGCCCACGCTTACGCACACGCCCACGCCCACGCACACGCACACGCACACGCACACGCACACGCACACGCACACGCACACGCACACGCACACGCACACGCCCATGCACAGGCACACACACACACATACACAGATACACACGCGCACACACACACACGCAAGCACATACACATGAGCACACATAACACACACACGCGTATCGTTCTTATTTCTTATGGGCCAGCCAGCCAGGTAGTGATAGCGCGTGGCGTGCGAGTAGCAGGCTGAGCAGTTGTGTGTGGAAAGGGCCCATCTGAAGACGGTTGCGTGCGCCATCTTGTTGTCCAGCCAGTGTTGCCCGCGCCAGGTGGGAAATTCCTCCGGAGTGGCGCCCCCTGCTGTACGCGCAGATACTGAACGGATGTTACAATGCCGGGGAGACGCCGCCTGCCTGATTCCCCCCTGTACGCTGAGGCCCGTGTCGTGTGCTAGGCTCCGGACCCATCCGGTTGTGTTCGGAGTTTCTGCATGCCGAGGGATGAGCTCAGCAGCGCCCCCCCGTCGGGAAGAGGTGCCCATACAGTCAACCCGCATAGTAGGCTGAGCGACGTTCTAAGGTTATCCTTGCATCCTTCCCCCTCGGCCCGTCCTTGGCCGCTTCCACTGGCCACGCCCCGCCCTCATGATGTCGGCAGGCCTTCCAAGGCCCTTGCATCCTTATTGTGCATCTTTATTCTACGGGTTGACTGTATGTGGGGCCGTCTGGGATGCTCGAAGAACAAACCGAATGGGATGTACTTGCCCCCTCGGCTCGCCGCGCGGATCTCTTGGATCGGCGGTTGGCCTTCCTGGCGGCGCCTCCGCCGCCGCGCTCCGAGCGCCAGGGCAGGGGGGGGGGATCCCGCTCAGATCCAAGGAAATGGGCGCGCACCGTCGAGTATGTTAGGTTTGCGTGTTTTTTGTGTTTTTTCCTGTGGATGCCGCAGCGTGGTGTGGCCGAAGTGCTGCACATTGCTGCGCTGCCCCTTTGGGGGGAGCCTTTTTGGGGGAGAGGCTCCTGTTGAGCTCACCTTCGGCGGCGCGCCGAGGGGGCAAGTGAGGGGGGGGCAGGCCTTCTCAGAGGGCGGTGGGGCCTCGCTTGTGGACGACGATCAATGAAGAGTAACGCATGTTGCCAACTAGCTTCCAGATGTCTGACAATGTGTTGAAAATGTCTCAAGCATGGTTGAAGCACTTTTAGAGTATGCTCCCACATGGTCAAGACACGCTTAGTTCAAAGACCGGCTTGTTAGGTTGTCCATCGTCACGGCACCCACCAGGCTTCGCAGAAGCCCTCCGGCCTTTCGATTCTGAGAAGCCCCTCCTGTGTTTCGTGAGAAGCTGGGAGGCCAGAGACCAGCTGAGCCCTCTGAGCAGGCCCGCCCCTCTGCCTGTCCCCCTTGGGCGCGCCGTCGGCGTTGTGGGCCCTCCCGGGGGCCCCCCGGGGGCTTCGGATGCGCTTCCTGGAGGTCCGCCCGGGAGCCGTCTCGGACGCGTTGGTCCTCCAAAGAGGCTCGGGAGACACACCTCGTGGCCATCTGGCCGGGTCGGGTCTCGAGGCCGTCTTGGAGCACTTTCGGGGTGGTATGGGTCGGCGGCGAGCGAGGGGGGGAGTGAGAAGGAGAAGGCCTTTCCAGAAGGCGGCAGGATTTTTGAGAAGCCCTCGCGCCTTCTGAAAAGTGTCTGTGTCTTCGCGGAAGGTTTAGCAAATTTCTCAGAAGGCCGGGTGACTTCCGAGCCTTCTCGCCGCCGAATGGGGCTGTCTGAGGGGGTGGGGGTGGTGCTGTCTTGCGATTCTCTTGGGGCCGCTCGTGGCCTTTGTGGCCTCGAGGTTCTCTTTGGGCACGTTGGAACGACCTGTAGGTATTTAAGGATTGTGGGAGGTCTGGAGGCATCTTGAAGCTGTCTTAAGGCGATCTTGAGCCGTCTCGTGTTTTGGGCCTTCTTGGGGCTGCCGAGAGCTCTGGAGAGCAAACCGAAGAACGGACACGAGTTGGCGCACAGTTACGCGACGAGGGGGGGAAGCCCCTTTGGAAAACAGTAGGCGCATCATTCAGGCAGCTAATCGGCTTTCCAACTCATGCCAACGTGCCGAAGTTACGGTTACGGATTCTGCTAGGGCTGCATCAGTTGCTGTCAGACGAGGGTGCCGGGAGGCGGTATCCTGGATAGAATGACTCGTTGGTGTGTGATTGTGTGATTGTGGTGTCAGCATGTGAAATGTCGTTGGTTAGGGGAGGGTGTGAGGTTGTCTTTTTGGAAGGCCTCGTGCTGCCGCTGGCATGTCGTAGGACAATTCAAATCCGATCTAGGCACGTTTTCCCATGTCTGTGCTGGCACATTTGAGAAACCACCTCCACATCTAGCTTGCGGTGAAGAAACCAGGGAGCATACACGGCGTCATATTAATACAGCGCCGTTCTTGAAATTGTCTTCTAGATTGAAGCCTCGGACATAGCTAGAGTGTTGAAGCATATGCGAATTGGCAACTCTGGGGCACAGTCAAGCAGGTTATTGTTTGGAATAGTTCCGCTAAGACACATGCGACTAAGCACTCGACTCATGATCCTGATGATTATTCGGCTGCGTTATGAGTCACGTTTCGCAGCGCGTGTGGCAATGCGGCGCAATAGCATTGACACCAGGGACACATTCCACATGGAGGCGTACTGATGCGAAATATCAGGTGGTCGTGGTGTTCGGAGCAGCGAAGCCATCGCATGTCCGTGTGTCTTGTGGGTGCGTGCTTGGATCATGCGGCATCATATTGCGAGAGAAGCAGCCCCCCCGATGTAGAGTAGAGCTTCAGAGGCAGCCTGACCTGTTGATGCGAGGAAGCTCCGAGTCGACCAACAAACAAACGACATCACCCCACCTAATGCCCTCCATGTTGCGCTACGTACGACCCATCGGGCGTCGTAGCGTACACCACGCAAACACCCACTCCCAATCTCCTGGTATACGCTAAGCACCGTGGGGCCGTAGGTTGGGTGGTGTCGTGTGTTTTCTGGTCCACCGAGATCCTCCTCCCTTCCTCCTCAGTGTTATGGTACCTTGCCCTGTACACTGTCCGAGCACGCACTCGGCGAAGCCGCGCGTCGCATCGTCGGCGTTCCTTATGCCTCCCCTCCCCTCCCTCCCTCCATCCTCTCTCTCTCCCTCCCTCCCTCCTCTCTCCCTCCCTCCTCTCTCGCGCTCTCGCCCTCCTCTCTCCCTCCCTCCTCTCTCCCTCCCTCCCTCCTCGCGCTCCCTCCCTCCCTCCTCCCTCCCTTTTCTCTCCCTCTCTCCCTCCCTCCCTCCCTCCCTCCTCTCCCTCCCTCCCTCCCTCCCTCCCTCCTCTCGCGCTCTCGCCCCCTTTTTTGTCGTCGATGGCCTGGCAGAGAGGACTGGCTGCAGAGGCGCTGGTCGAATGCCGACACCGCCGAGGCCGAGCACGGCAACGCGCGGAGGCCCGCCGCCGCTCCACCCGGGCCGCGCCTTCGGCGGCGGGGAGGGACAGCTGGGCCTCTCGAGGCTCGAGAGGCGGGGGTCGATCTTCCTCCTCCTCCTCCTCCTTTTTCCTCCTCCTCCGCATCCTCCCTCCTCCTATCTCCTCCTCCTTTTCCTCCTATCTCCTCCTATCTCCTCCTTCCTCCTCTCTCCTCTCTCCTCTCTCCTCTCTCTCTCCTCCTCCCCTCCTCCTCCTCCTCCTCCTCCGCCTCCTCCTCCTCCTCCTTTTTCCTCCTCCTCCTCCTCCTCCTCATCTTCCTTCTCCTCTTCCTCCTCCTCTTCCTCCTCCTCCTCCTCCTCCTCCTCCTCCTCCCCCCCCTCCTCTCCAAGCGGGGCTCTAGAGACGGGGGTCAATGCAAACAGGGGGTCCGCCAGAGCGCCGGATCTTGCAGGATCCTTCAGGGCCAGGATTGCACCGACCTGGGTCTGGGTGCAGGATCCTGCAGGATCTTGCAGCTCGCGAGGCCTGCCTGACCCGGATCTGGATCGACCCGGGTCAGTAGATCCCCGAGTCTTGTTCGACGTTGGTTTCGGTGTGTCTTGAGGGCGCGGGATCTCGGATGGGCCGATGTCCTGTATGGGCGAGGGGATGAAGTCGGCAACGCGCAGAGGGGGGGTAGGGGGAGGGGGGCAGGCTTCTTAGAAACACCCTTGCTTCTTAGAAGGCGCGGGCCTTCTCTATAGACGTAAGGCCGAGGCCTTCTAAGAAGCAGGGTGCTTCTAAGAAGCCTTCCCCCCTCCCTCTACCCCCTTCTGCGCGCCGCCAATGAAGGTAGAGTCGAAGAAGAAACACCGGACAAACATACACTTTTGGCATTCCGCGCGGTTTTCTTGTGCTTGGGCTCCCTTGCGGCGCCTCCGCGCGCCAGGGAGGGTGGCCCAGCGCAGATCCAAGAAGTCCACGCGGAGGGCCAAACAGTTAATGTGTATGTCGTGTTTCTTGTTTATGTTTCTTCCTCTTAGTACTTTATCATTATCACTAGAAGTATTCGTATGATTATTATCATTGTTATTGCTATTACTTATTATTATTAGTAGTAGTCGTAGTAGTAGTATTGTTAATAATGCTATTATTATTGGTATTCGTATTAGTATTTAGTAGTAGTGTAAGTATTGTTAGTCTTATTATTAGTATTATTATTCTAATTATTGTTATTGTTAGTATTATTAGTATTATTATTATTATCCTTATCATCATTATTGTTACTATTGCTAGTATTACTACTACTATGCTTCGTCTATTTCTTCTTCTATTGAGGGCGGGGGATCTCGGATGGGCCGTTGTCCTGTGTGGGCGTAGGGATGAAGGTAGGGGGTAAGGAGGAGGACCAAGGAACAGAGGGAGGGTGGAGCAGAGGTATGTCGGGAGGAAACAGGCGAGAGGAGTGTTGGATGGGTGAGGTAACAATGGGAGCAGATGGGAGGGAAGAGGAGGTGGATGAGATCCGTAGCCTATTTGGCTCCATGTTCCACAGCTATCTCAGAGGAGCATGTCAGGAGGTTGCCCGCTGTTCCCCTTTGTCACATCCGCGGCGACTGCCCTTCGCTGCAGTTGAGTTCACCTGCGGTTGGTGAACTTCCACTGCATCGGCAGCCACGTCGGAGGCATCCACAGCCGCCGCTGGTGACGGCAGCATCGAAGCGGGAATTTGTGGGGACGCTGGTCGTGGCAAGCGCCGCCCTGAGCAATGGCCCATTGGCACTGACACTGACATCGTACACTGTTAGCTGCGGGCTTCCATCGAGGAGCTGCTCAATGAGATGTTCGAGCAGGTCTCCGATACCCAGAAGTCCATATCCGATGGCCTCACTGATTCGCCCCGACATGTAGTTTCCATGTGCAAGAGCATGTCGTTGAAGGCGGAAGCTCGTATCTCAGGTGTTGAGTCATATGTCGAACGCTTCCAGCGTCTCCCTTCCCAGCGCAACCGCCAGCTCGAAGAGGGCGTCCTACCGCCACCCGCCAGCTCGAAGATCAGTCCCGAGCTCGAGGTTCGAAGTATCAACAGCATTCCGCCGCAGCCACAGTTTCCGAGCATTTCCTTCGATTCGGCTTGAGTTGTCGGCATCGGGCGGGGCCAGGCAGGGCTGGGCGCGGCGATTCGATGTCGTTTCGGTTCGGGATGGTGCGCTGACGATCGGGTCCGTTTCCGAATCCGATTTCGCGATTCCACGCAGCTCAGGCCTGCCAGCCTCCTGGCCGTGTCGGTGCAGTCCACTCCTTGCGCCGTCTGCCCCACGCCTGGGGCAGGCAGCCAGCGCAGTGCGGGAAGCTCGCGGCGCGGCTGCTCAACGGCACCGCAACGGGTACGTACTAACGGGTACTTTGCAATTTTGCCGAAAGTTGCCACTTTAGGGCCTCTTTCTGGCAATGCAGCGTTGCCCGCATTAGGAAGGGTTGGGTTCGCTGGGTCACTGGCCAAATTACCCGTTAGTGGAGTCCCCGTTTGAGGGGCGCTGAGCTGCGCAGGCCGGAGGCTTCGCCCACGGCTCCGCCCTCCCAGCCAACCCTGCCGACGCTGGAGGGCTTCGAGGCCACGCCTCGGCCACCCTGCGCCCTTCGCTTCGGGAGGAGCCGGGGCCCCCTTTGGACACTCTCGGCGAGGCGCTGCTGCCGGAGAGCGCACGTCGAGGGCGGAGGCCCGCCGATGATCGGCGACGACGCACGAAGGCCAAACCCGAGATCCCCCCCCCCGATGAGGAGGAGGAGGAGGAGGAGCGAGGAGGAGGAGGAGGAGAGGAGGAGGAGGAGGAGGAGGAGGAGGGAGGAGAGGAGCGAGGAGCGAGGAGCGAGGAGCGAGGAGCGAGGAGCGAGGAGCGAGGAGCGAGGAGCGAGGAGGAGGGGCAGGAGGAGGAGCGAGGAGGAGGAGCTGGAGGAGGAGCGAGGGGGAGGCGGAGGAGGAGCGAGAAGGCGGAGGAGCGAGGAGGAGCAAGGAGAAGCAAGGGGAAGAGAAGGAAGAGCGAGGAACAGAGGAGGAGAAGGAGGAGGAGGAGGAAGAGGAGGAGGAGACGGAGGAGACGGAGGAGACGGAGGAGACGGAGGAGGACGAGACATGAGTCGGCGCGCTCTGCGTGGATGCGTGGCGCCCGCGGCGGGCGACTGATCGAGGAGGTGGCGGATGAGCAGAGAGGGATGGGAAGGTGGGGGCAGGTGGGCAGAGGAGGGACAACAGGGCTGGACCTAAACGGTGTTTTGGCGATTTCGAGGGCTGTTTTCGACTCGATTTCGTTTTGCGGTAGAGGCGGATTGAAGACAAAACGAGGAAAAACGAAAACAAAACGAACACGAACAACACCGTTTAGGTTCAGCCCTGAGGGACAGTTGGCCACACGCAGAAGGGCGGTAGCGGGGGGGGGAGAAGGCTTCTCAGGAGCACCCCTGCCTCTCAGAGGGCGCGGGCCCTCTCTGTAGATGTCAGGCTGGCGCCTCCTCCTTCTGAGAAGCCTGTCGCCTCCTCCTGTCCCCCTCTGCGCGCCGCCCAAGAAGGGACCGATGCCCCTTCCTTGTTCCGTTTTCGCTGTTGGCCGGCCTCACGTGAGAACCTCGCCACCTCGAAGTGCTGGTCAGAACGCGCCCCGGGAGAGGTCCAGTGAGTGTTGGTGTCGGTACATTTTTGCTCCCCAGATGAGGAAGACATCTGGGGGGGTCGGACAGGATGAGCGAGGAGGATCAGTAGCTTCGGATTTGGGAACGGTCAACGCAAGTGCGAAGGGCTGGACGATGGAGGATCAGAAGCAGCCGGAGAAGGTGTTTTCCGTCGTGTCGTCACCGCTCCTGGTCTGTCTCCCTCGCCTCCTGGGTTACCCCTCTTCTGGAGGGGCAGCCCATGTTCAAAACCGGCCCTTCCATGCGGGGGGGCCGGGTCAGGCATCGGGTCATCCATCGACCAGACTTGCCTTCAGCTTGTGATCGTTCTCTATTAACTGTTTTGCCGATCGGCGTAGGGCACCCCTCGCCCCCCATGGAGTAGATCTTGGTTGTGTTTAGGCGCCTGCTTCGAGCGGGTGGAGTCTCCCCCAGAGGCAGCACTCTTGCAGACAGTCGCACCAAGCAGAGGTCTGGAGCCAGACCCCTCCCTCCCCCCCCCCTTAAGCCCAGTGTCGAAACTTGGCATCGCTCGGACGTGTGCATTTTTCCTTCGGTAAGGACCATCGAGGAGCATCCTTGACCATTTAGCGAAAAAAACGCGCACGAAACCGAAAAAGCACAGGGAGTGGACGTCCGAGCGATGGCCAGGTGTCGAAACGCCGAATAAAAAAACGCTCACATTCGAGCTTCGAGGAGTGCGGAAGGGGAGGGCCAGCCTCGCGCAGAGGGGGGTGTACGGGGGAGGGGGGAAGGCTCCTTGGAGGCACCCCTGCTTCTCAGGGGGCGCGGGCCTGCTCCGTAGATGTGGGGCCGGCAGCTTCCAGGAAGCGGCCTCCTTCAAAGAAGCCTCCATCCCCTCGCCCCCTTCCCCCCCCCCTGCACGCCGTCAAGAGAGGACGACGATACAGGGCAGTTTCTAATACATCGGATTTTGAAACATATAGGATTTTGGAGTACATGATGAATGCATGAACAAAGTTATGCAGAAACTCATCGTTGTTTTTAATACTAAGTCCGTGCATTTTTAATACATGACCCGCACGCGGAGCTTGTATTAAAAACGGCACCGTAGAGGCGGCCACGCACACGAGCTCGGGATCGGAGGCCAGACTAGAGGGCGAGCGCGGGCCGAGGGGGGCGTGGAGGCGATAGGTCCCCCGCGGGCGGAGGCTCAGTAACAACGCGGGCACCATGAACCGCCTGAGGAGCTCCAGCACCAAGGCCCCCGCCCCTCCGGGGCTCCTCCTCCTTCCTCCTCCTCCTCCTCCTCCTCCTCCTCCGCCCCCTCCTCCTCCTCCTCCTCCTCCTCCTCCTCCTCCTCCTCCTCCTCCTCCTCCTCCTCCTCCTCCTCCTCCTCCTCCTCCCTCCTCCTCCCCCCCCTCCTCCTCCTCCTCCTCCTCCTCCTCCTTCTCCTCCTCCTCCTCCTCCTCCTCCTCCTCCTCTTCTCTCCACCCACTCCTCCAGGAGGCTCCGCGGGCTCGACCCGCGTCGCTCCCGGTGGCGCCCGGTGCCGATCCGGTTCGATCTGGGATGCCGATCTGGACTCCGGTTTCTCAGTGGAGGCCTTACTGGCCTGCCGATTTCCGCCGAGCCGATGGGCGTCGTTCGCCAAGCCGGCTTATCGATTCGATGCCAGGCTCTCCTGCCCCTCCGCCGACGCCGCCTCGCTCCTGCCGCCTGCCTCTCCTCGGGAGGCTGGGAGGGGAATAGCAAAAGGGCACAGGCTCGCAGGCCTAGAGTTTGGCACCAACACCAATATCGGCGGTGTTCCTCCACCGTGGGAAGAGGATCCCGATCTCGGTGGTGGTGGCAACATTCTGGCTTCAAAGGTGACCGAACTATTACCACCAGCACCGAAATCTAGGATCATCTTCTCCCTGTGGAGGCAACCCCCTTGTGTTGGTGTTGGTGCCCATTTCCAGGCCTCCAACAATCACACATTAGCGCTGGCTTCCGGGATCGGGTATAGCCCGGACCCCAGGTAAGGGGACCCGGTTATTGGTAGGGCCCCGGGGCCCCCAAATTTGCCAGAATCATCAAACCAGGTCTGCCGTGCTGGTGTTTTTTCGGGTGACGGCGGTTACGGTCAGTTAGTGGAATGGTGCGGGGGGGGGCGTCCCCCAGTACACATCACTAAACCAGGTCCCACTAAACCCAATTCTGCCAGTGCCCGACAGGAATAGCATGGGCAGTCCTGGGAAGTTGGAGGGGCAGACGAACATGCAGAACGTATGGACACAAGGGGTTCGGTTGCGGCTAGACCCTCACATCGCTTCCGTCTAGACAACCGACCACTGGGGAGGAAGAGGCTTCTGCATATTCCCTGAACTGTAGATCCACAGTTTGTTGGTCCCAATTCTACATTTCGCTGTGTGGTGTGTAGAAGCACAGTCCCTTGTGCCCTTCTACACTTTCTGCTTAAAATGTAGAATTTGCGTTGTGCTTCTACACATGGTTGTGTGATATGTGGAAGCTACGTATTCTGATGTGTAGAATTGGCTCGCCGAAGAGAAACTGCACAGATCCACGGATGTGTAGAACCTGACTTCTTGTTCTGACCCCCCACTAGTTTGAGGGCGTGCAAACAACCGAACACAGGGGGGATCCTGGAGCTTGTGCCTGTTCATGTGTGTCTCCCTGGGCCCCTCCCTTGCCTCAGAGGAGCAGGAGTCGGCCACGCGCAGAGGGGGGGACAGGGGAGGGGGGAAGGCTTCTTAGAAGCACCCCTGCCTCTTAGCAGGCGCGGGCCTCCTCTGTAGAGATAGGGCCGGCGCCTTCTTATAAGCAGCCTCCTTCTAAGGAGCCTGCTCCCTCCCCCTTGTCCCCTTGTGCGTGCCGCCGAGCGTCCTGGGCCCAGGAGCACGAGGAGGAGGAGGAGAAGGAGGAGGAGGAGGGAGAAGGACTGGGAATAGGAAGAAGAGAAGGAGGAGGAGGAGGAGGAGGAGGAGGAGGAGGAGGAGGAAGAAGCAGCCCCCTGTCCCTTGCGCGCGCCGCCACGAGGGGTCCTGAGCTCGGTGCGTGCCTGCATCCCAGGGCTCTCCCGTGCTCCGCGCGGGCTCCGGAGGGGCGGGGCCGCCAGACACCCCTCTTCAAGAGGGGAAAAAACACACGGACACAATGATTCGTCGATTCCCCGAAAATATGCGAAAATATGGGAAGTGGGGGGAAGACAGAAACCCAGAAAATACGGGAAAATATGGGGAATCTGTTTATTTGTGTGTATTTATTTGTGTGTCCCAGGGCCCCTTCACCTCTGTTCTCTTGGCATCGCTCGGACGTGTGCATGTTTCCTTCGGCGAGGACCATCGAGGAGCATCCTTGATCATTTTTGGTGAAGAAGCCACGCACGAAACCGAAAAAACCACAGGGAATGGACGTCCGAGCGATGGCCGGTTCCTGGAGCGCGCCCGGGATGCCTGTGCGCGCGGCCCCCGCGGGCGGCGGGCGACACGCAGGAGCGGCCCTGGGCAGGAGTGGCCTCTGGTGCGCCGCTTTTCGGGGACCGCGGGGCAGCAGGTCTCGAGCGCTCAAGACGCTGCCGTCGCATCGCGCTCGGCCACCTGGGAGCCCCAGGGTGACCTTCAGTGCGCGGCTGGGCGGCCAAGCCCCAGCGCGCAGGACGCTGCTGCCGCATCGCGACATCACCTCGGATGCCTAAAGCTTGCCACCAGCACTGTTGTCGGCGTCGTGCCTCCACCGGTGGAGGCTGCTCCCCATCTCGACGATGGCGTTAAGTCGGACGCGTCCCTCGACAGGAGGAATATTCAAGAATGGTACAACCATAGCCTGGGGACGATTTGTCTGACTCTTTTTGACTAATTTGGGGTATGTTTTGTTTGTTTCTCTCTGTCTCTCTCTCTATTTTGAAGTTTTCTTCCAAAACCCGCCTGTCGGAAGACATGTCCGACCTAACGATGGTGGTAACATTTGGGCTTCCTAGGTCGCCGATGGATGACCACCAATACCACAATCTAGCTTCCGAGCCGTGGAGCAGCCTCTTCAGGAAGTGTCCTCCACCAGGGAAGTTGGCTCCACCAGGGAAGGGTCTGCCTCCGAGCCGTGAGCAGCCCTTTCAGTTCATGATCGGTGCGGTCGGCCCCAGCCGAGGGGCACTGGCGCCTGCCTGCGCCCCAGTGGTCCCAGCCGTAGTCGCATTGCGGGCCCACGCCTCGGCGTCACCAAACAGTATCAGTACTACGACTACTACTCCTACTACTACGACTACTACTACTACTACTACTACTACTTCTAATACTACTACTACTACTACTACTTCTACTTCTACTTATACTTATGCTTATGCTTATACTTATACTTATACTTATACTTATACTTATACTTATACTTTTACTTATACGTATACTTCTTCTTCTTCTACTACTACTACTACTAGCATTACTTCTATCACTACTACGATTACTACTACGACGACTACTACTACTACTACTGCTACTGCTACTGATACTGCTACTACTACTACTACTACTACTACTACTACTCCTACTACTACTACTACTACTACGACTACTACTACTTCTAGTTCTTCTACTACTACTTCTATCTCCACTACGATCATTACTACGACGACTACTATTACTGCGACTACTACCACTACTATTATCATTACTACTACTACGACTACTACTACTACTATACGACTACGTCTGGTACTACTTCTACGATTACTAATTCTGTTACTACTACTACTACTACTACTACTACTGCTACTACGACCACCACCACCACTCCTGCTACTACTACTACTACCACAACTACTACTACTGCTACTACTACTACTAGTACTACGACAACCACCACCACCACTTCTGATACTACTACCACTACTACTACTACTACTGCTACTACTACTACTGCTACTACTACTGAAACGACGACTACTACTACTACTACTACTACTACTAGTGATATATCTTCCGCTACGGCTACCACCACCATCACCACCACTTCTTCTTCTTCTACTACTACTACGATTAGTACTACTACCACTACGACTACGACCACCACCACCACTACCACTACTACCAGTACTACGACTGCTCCTACTACTTTGTACTCCCTTTTTTATTGTTTCTACTTATACTGCTACTACTACCACTCCTACTACTAGTATTACCACCACCACCACTACTATTACGACTACTACTACTTCAATCACTAGTACCATTACTACCACCTCCACTTCTACTACTACTTTTCCTACCTCTACTACTACTACTACTACTACTACTACGACCCCCAGGACTTCCACTAGTACTACTACTACTACTGCTACTACTACTACTACTACTACTACTACGACTACTGCTACCGCTCTTGCTGGTACTACGACTACAACTCTCAATGCGACTACTACGACTTTGACTCCTAGCAATACGACTGCTATTACTACGTCTACGAGTACCCTTTTGCATCACGACTACTACTACGATTTCTGTTGCGACGACTCTACGGATTTTAATCCCATTTGCTCTACTATTGCGACTACTGCGACTACGACACTTATTTCTAATACTAGTATAACTACTACTACGACTACTTGTGTGCAGACTACGACTGCTACTGCCACTGCCACTTCTACGATTACTACGACAACAGCTACTAATGCTTCGACCACGGCTAGGACTACTACTACGTCGATCACAACGACTACTACGACTACGGCTGCAAATGCTATAGCCACCAATACTACTACGACTACCACCATTACTACTACTACTAGTACTACTACC